TTCTCTGTGGGATCACTCGAAGTTTCTTTGTGCTTGCAATTACAACAGTCATTTTTTGGACAGGTGTTTTGCTTGAACCTTTTACTTTGGAAGCGACTTCAACATGGGAATCAACTTCTTGCAGTGGTTTTTCAATCTCGACGTTTTCTTCACTGAACAGGTTTCTTGCAGCTATGTTACTATACAATCAGGTTTGAATGGATTCAATGTCACGTCGTGACGTATGGCTCAGCAGGGTTGGGTGGCGGGTAGCCTCTATCCTTATTGGACAAGAGGTTGCTCCATGGGAGCGCGCGCGCGGGGGAGGGTAGCTGCATCGGCTCCCCTCGCTCTGCGACCTGTGCCGGTCGTTTCAGCTCAGTCTGGCATTCGTGATTTCCTGGTTTTTTCAAGTGGCTTCATTTCAGCTTGCATTTGCATTGGGTGGCTTTTGTTTGGAGTCGTGAATGTGGATCAGCCTTGACAGATTTTCCGAGTGTGATCCTCAGGAAGGGTTCATTGTCCATATTCCAGGGTGGTTTGGCCTTCAATCCATCATTTTGGCATTTTTGACTCCTGCGGAATCCCATCGTTATTTACGTACTTGTGTTTATTTGCTGCTTGACACCAGGGACCTCCTTCTCAACGCTACAGCTGTCAGAATTCAGTATTTTGGGTCTTTTTCAGTGCCAACACCACCAGTGCAGCCAACGTTGCAGCCAGCCGTCGGACAAGGTGGGGGAGACTGGGACCTAGAATTTTCTGGCAGTAGTGAGCCTTCTGACACTAGTGAGTCTGAAGAGGCATTTGAGAATCATGCCATGGAGGGTGAAAACATTGACGGAGTACAGGACCTCTGAAGGTGCGTCTCCAGAAGATACTGACAACATGCCTGTCAGCGATGACCTCAGTGTGAGTGTGCCCGAACAGCTTGGAAATGCCGAGACCTCAGATTTTTTGTCAGGTCGTTGTGCCTTAGATGACATTGCTTTTGGTGACGGTGAACTTGGTAGACAGGAGTTGCCAATGGATTCAACCACAGGTCCAAATCATGGTCAGGCACAACGGGTTTCCAGGAATTGTGCGGCTTTGGCATTGGGTGCAAGTCAGGTGCCAAGAGGGCCGGTGATTTCGGAATCCAGCTTTGAGCAACTGCTGTCGCATGCATACTTGGGCACAAAGGGTCAGTTGACTGTTAAGATGCCTTGGGAGCGTGGAGTTTTCAAGAAGGTTTTTCAGAAACCTGCAACTGGTATTCAGCATGTTTTCCAGCAGCCAAGAATTTGGGTCAATTACAACCTGGAGTCTGTTGCAGAGACCTTGGAAGACTTGCATGAGCAGACGGCAAAACGTCCAGAGCTGGTTGGAGCCTTTTTCGAACATGCTTTAACTGCGGTGTCTGACTTGTCATTTCATCAGCAACGCACTGGTCTTCTGGAAACAGCAGTGGAAAAATGGTTTTGCATTATCAGGGTGAACATGCTGGCATCCTCAACGGGCAGGGACATCATCAGTTTTGGGAACATGGATGATCAGAAGCGAGGGGCCTTTGAAACTATTGAAGCTGTGATTGGTATCAGATCTAGGACCACAGCTATCACCAGGGCAAACTCCTTGTTGAAATTCCTGCGCTGGAGGGCGGAGTGTTCTGACAATGATGGCAGGCCCTTTGAGGAGCAGGAGGCATGGCAGTATTTGAAGGAGTTGAGAGAAACTGGAGCGGCTCCCACAAAGGGTTCAAGTTTTCTGTCAGCATGTGCATATGCATTTCCTGTCTTTGGCTTCAACGATTTGGAGAGCATTTGCAATAGCAAAAGGTTGAAAGGACTGGCTGACCTGATGCATGCCGTCAAGGCGCCGTTGAAACAGGCGTTGGTGCTCACGATCAGGCAGGTTCTCATGCTGCATGAATTGTTGGATGCTACAGATTGCAATGTGGTTGACAGGGCAGTTGCTGCATACCTCCTTGTAGCCCTGTATGGGAGATGTCGGCACAGTGATTTGCAAAACATTGAAGACGTTTTCATTGATTTGGGTCCAGAAGGAGGATATCTTGAGATTACAACGAGGACGCACAAGACCTCGAGGACAGCATCTCAGAAATCCAGGTTGTTGCCCGTGGTTCTGCCAGCCATAGGTGTGCAAGGGCGAGAGTGGATCACGGCTGCGAAGATGGCCTTCAAAGACTATGGCCTCAGCCTGGAAGGCCATATCGGTGGACCTTTGTTCAGACCGCCGGGTGCAGATGGGAACAGCCACTGCAAAAGGGGCCTTACCTCACAAGAGGTATCAAGGTTTTTGAGAGTCATGCTCGGTGAGAACATGACGCATGACAAGGAGAGCGGGCCAAAGTTGTCGTCGCACTCACTCAAAGCGACAGTCCTCTCTTGGGCGGCGAAAGCAGGCATGGCGGCTCAGGACAAGTCCATTTTGGGGCGGCATGTGAGTGCATACACAGATTCAAGTGCTGTCTATGCAAGGGACTTGTCAATAGGTGCGGTTTCACGCCTTCAAGAAGTTGTTCTGCAGATATACAGAGGAGAGTTTCTGCCTGACGCGCCTCGAAGCGGGTATTACCCAGTGGCCATGCCTGTTGCTGAAGCACCTGAGTTGCCAGATGCAGAAGTGATCAAGGTCGAAGATGATGCTGCATGTCAGGAGCTGGATATGGAAGTTCCGGTGGCCGACAGCCAACTGTGTGAAGAGGCTTGTAGTGCCTCGTCAGATGGCTCTGAGTCGTTGGAAGGTTCTGACTCCGAAGAGGAGATAGTGCCACCAGCACCCAAGTGCTATAGGCACGTTGCAGCTGGCCCTCTGGAGGGGAAATTTGTGATGCACAAAGTGTCACACTTGGTGCACTACGTTGACTCTGGAGTGAAGGGAGGCCTGGCAACCAAGGTCATTTCATGCGGCGGAGCTTTGAACAACAACTACAAGACCGTGGAGAGATTTGACACGGTTGACGTTTGCCGTCGCTGTAAAACCAATGCGACGAAAGACGGACTCTTGCCGAAACCTGCAGTATAAAAAAGTGTGCTCTCACATGGTGAGTCTTGGCACACTCTGGTGCAAGGGTTAGGTTGCGTGGCACCTCATTGGCTGCATGGCAGCATGATTGCACATGTCAAGATTGGATTGGAAAGAGAAAGGGTATGAGTTATTTTGTTGCAGATTTGCAAGACATGTAGTGCTGACATGAGTGTTGAAAATTCGAAAGATTGATTGAGAGTGAATTTATGGATTCATGGAGCGTGGCTCGTGAGGAAGATGTGATGGTAGTAATGCTACTGAGTTTGAGTCATGGCCCACTTTCATTTTTGAAGCTTTCATTCATGAACTGTTTTGTTTTATATGGAAATGAATGCACTTGGAAAGACTTTTTCTCAGAACCTGTCACGACTTTCAGGTTGATTGGTGAACGATGTGACACTTGTCAAACAGCTTTCATTAGTGTGCACCTTGTAGCTTGTGATCAATGGCGAGCTTACTGGATTCAGAAGCGCAATTTGTGCAGCGCACCATCGATTTGAAGCTATCGGAGGAGCTCAAGCGCAGTTTGAAAAGGACAGGGTTGCAGACTTTTGGAACCTTTGCATACGCACATGGCCAACCAGGACAGAACATAGCAGATGAGGCGTTCGAGACTTGGGTCACAAGCCAATTGTTGACAGGTGCCACCATAGCAGATGTCGCAGGTGCCAAGAGGCTGCTCTTCGAGAGTCAAACAATTGTTCTGGCGTCCTTGCAGGACCAAGTGAATACACCCGACGCTTCTTCCATAAAGAAGGTGCCGGTGGCGGAGCGTGAGACCAAAATGAGGGCGATCAAGCAGAGATTGACAGGCCTCCTCATAGAAGGCCCACTGGAACCTGGCCATGCACTTTTGGACACCACGGCCAGCATGATGCAACTCAATGAAATCAAATACATCCCTCCGGAAAAATGTATCTCGAGGACTCATGAAGTTTTGAACCAGAAGTCGCCCATGAAACAGTTGGATATCTCTGCAGAGAGCCTGGTTGTGAAGG